TATATATATATATATATATATATATACATATATATTCATATAAATAAATATATATATATATTTATTTATATGGATATATATATATATATATACATATATCGCATTAAGATTATTTACATTTTATTAATTTCGGTAGTCCTTGCACTTTATAAGAAGTTAATAGTTTCTACACATACTCACGACCTTACAATAAACGAATCTCAATCTACATTATCTTGGAAAATCAGTTTAACGTATCCTGGCGTTCCTTCGAGAGGGACTGCGCAGAACGGACAAATTGCAATATAACCATTTGTACCATGTGGAATTGCAACTTTCTCCCAATATCTGTAACATAACAATTATATATATTATAAATATAAACCGTTAAAAAAAAAGAAAATTTATTTACAAATACTTCGGCATACTTAATACTAACTTAACAGTTTTCTCTGTAGCCATGTGTCCACAAGGCCTAAATGCATAAGTAGGCGGGCCACTATCAACGTAAAATGCAGGTTCGATACCCATAGAGAGTTTAACTACTGCACCAGCTACTAGACACATTGGGCATCTTTTTGTGGCTTTGTCTTTTTCTTGACCCCAATCGTGGAGACCTTGTACATGTCCACATTTTAAATAAACATACGGTTGCTGTTGCGTTGAATCGGCAGCTGCTTTACGTGGTATAACTAGTGTATTTAAACCAACTGGACATTGTGGTCTTCCCGCATTTATAGCGTCGACCAGTTCTTCCAAATCGTGCTTTGTCTACATAAAACGTATTTTATATATTTTCAACTTACAGCTTTCATACTAACGCAAAGATTATTTGTACGTACTGGTGACTTTGCTAGACCTTCGGCCGATCTCCAAAGTAACGTGGCACCACAGAGATCGATTAAAGTTCCATCTTGCAAAATATTATTCTCATCTTCTACGACGTTTCCCTTTTGTTGGGCACTTCGACTTTCCCTTAGCGAAAAAACACCTCCGCCTACGCTGACTTCCCTCCAGAAACCACATTGCGCTTCACCGCCGCAGAACTGTCCCCGTGGATGCATTATTAAAACGCCATTTGTCGTGAGTCCATCGATTTCACGATTTTCTTGCCATTTTGTTGCTTTTTCCTACAATCGGCAATCCGTTTTCACGTCTTTGTTACAGTCTCAATCATCTCGGAAACAATTTGTACAGAAATGTGAAAAGAATTTACCCCTAAGAAGATATTTCTCGAACTGTCGAAACCTGCAGCGTATATTCTCGCAATCGTAGGGTCTGATCGGTCGGCGAGAATTCGACAGGCAAACCTACTAATTGTACTTTGAGCAACACGTCCCTCGTTAGAACCATCGCCGCTGCTACCGCCTGCACATGTGTCCATGACGACAAAATCGATAGGAGATTCAGAAGAACGTCCAACCTATATTTACAAATACATTAATACTGCTGGGCCAAAACAAATTTAAAGAAACAACATCAAACTTACCTGAAACATATCAGTTTCTTCATCTTCGGTATACTCCACAATAACGGCTTGGGTTCGAGAAAGAGTATACGATATCGAATGTTGCTTTGTATTAAGAATAGCTTGTGAACTATGGGGTGTTTTAACGATGTAATGTTTACTGCGTTTCACACCATTCGGTACAGGCCGTTTAAACAAAACGAACTTACTTCTTCTTCTTCCTCTATCTCCTTGTGGGAGGAATCCATTGTAACTAAAAAAATCCATTCAACTAATTTGTAGTTTTGTGCATCGATATTTTCACTGGTACTGTTGAAATGTGAAAGGAAAGGATCAGCTTACCCAAGAATAACTAATTCTCCATATTTTATTAACTGTTTTGGTTTCTCATGGCGATAACTATGGGACCTATGAGGGTTAGCATGTGTACAATTGTGATTATGTTTGCTGCGTGGACTGTGAGGTGCACCAACTGATTCTTCTTCTTCCACAAGTAATGGACTTTGGCTACCGCCGTCAGATCTGAAATAAACACAATTTAATAATTAATAGCAGAACTAACGATTGATATTATTTTTATCAGATTTATCAGAATTATACTACATATTGCAAAATTTATAAATGTTCAAGGATGAAAGGAGTGATGATTATTTCTACCACCTTTGCCTTTTTTTCATTTCTTATCATTGTAAAATGTGGCCCAATGTCTATGCTCGTTGTACATTGTATCATTGTTCATATTCCTAAGACTAGTGTGAAATACAGTTATTTTATCATAAATTCAAAATATCTTCAACTTATTGGTGTGGAAGTATTTAATTTTGTTTTTATTTAATTACATTCTTTAAATTAGAAAATCATAGTAACTGCGTATAAACATAGATAATTAAATTAATTGCCCCGTATATTTTAATGTTATTTATAGTTTTAAAGCGATTTATAGCTTTAAGGTGGATGTCAGTAACATAATTGCTATAACTCAGAAAACAGATCTGTTATTTTTAAAATGGCAGATTTTAAAGATCATTTTAAAAATTACAGTGTATATGGTTAAATAATTACACATTACAGTGTTATGGTTAAAATTCACATTGATCTTGAGGAAAAGAAATCTTCTTAGGAAGAATTGTGTGATTCAAATTACAAAAACAAAGATTTGAAAATTAATAATAATATAAAGTATTAATTCACCTATTTGTAGCTCTCTGTTTTTTTTTCTTGTCCTACAGTATGTAATACGTAAACCACTTACTTACCGCGAAAAGTATAGAATACGTTTAGTTACTGGCATCCTCCTTTGAGTAAAATTAACAGATTATTACTTCCACTGTACTTCAAAAGATACTCATAAGGACAGACAGTCGTAAGTATCTTTGCGAAGTTGAGCAAACATGAGCAAGTGCAACATGAGATGCTGTGAATTGGTAATTATAATCTGCAATAAGAAATATTCAGTGTAATAATAGTTGCTATACTGTTATATATTTTAGCATTTTCCTAGATTTAATAAAAGTTTCAACCAATCTATTTACTCTTTTTCTTTTATTAAAAGAAGATAAATGATCCAATAACAATGGATAACTAAGAAAAAAATTTATTATTTTGATATGAAAAAAATCAGAGTTAACTTGTCATTTTACTAATTACACGTATTTGTAACTGTACATTGACACTTATAAAAAAAAACTGTCTGTTCCTATACATAATACATTAGAAAGTACGGCCAAAATATTTTCTAAAACAGTTTAATAAAATTTACTTGCAATGAATGTTTATTCAAATTAAAGCACCAGGTATTACAAGCAAGAGATAAAAAAAAATACATTGTATTCTCTCTGAAGAAATGAATATGAGATTGTCCAATTAATACAGCTATTATTGATTCCATTTGATTGAATTGGTCAAACAATTGATTCTTTTATCTTATCTACATATTCATTTTTATCAAAATATTGCACTCATCAATTTTATCAATATGTGACCAAGGTACATACATTGTCGCTAATCGTAACTATGTTATAATTAACATAAGTTAACATGCATACCTGTTCCAAATTTAAAACATTTATTTAAATGATATATGCTTCACATTTAAATGAGTCAAACATTTAGTTTTATTTAAGTAACGTTCTATCGCATTGTCTCTGTATCGTTAAATCTTAAATCTAAATATTTCAAATATTTCTGAACTTCATATAAAATACAAACATTGTATTACAATTATGTAAATGTCAAAGCATCCTCATTTTCTATCACATACGCTTGTGTATCTTTTTTGTTTCTTTTTCTTTTGGAGAAAATAATAAGACGCTTTTCGTAAAACATAAAAATATTTATTGCGCTCAGTTCAAAATTTTATTTCAAACCAAATTTGTTTTCATCGAACAAACATATACTTGTCAATTCATTTATCGTTTTCACGATATAAACGTCTACGACGTACACAGAACACGCAACAAACAAAGAAAATTTCGATTCAATTTCACATCATCACATTTAACGCTGTAACCTATGAAAAAAAAAAAAAAAAATTAAGGAACAAACACAAAGCTCTGTCAATGGAATTCGATACTTGGAGAACATATCATGTACAATATTTTGGATAGCATTCTGCGAGTTACATTGAAAGATAACAACAATAATAGTGTAGGTAAACATTTACTTGGCCGAACAGATCCAATTAAAAACATTGCCGATTGGCGGAAGGCTGAAAAAGAGAAAAACATGAAAAAAATAAGGAAGGAAAAAAAAAGAGAAGAAACATCGAGCACGATTGGATCGTGAACGAGTCGCGATGGGATCGCGACGGGATCGCGATGCACGAACACAACATTAATTAACCTAGGCATCCAGAAACGATGGTCTATTTACCGTATCACCATGCTGAGCTCTGCGTTCAGAAACGGTTATCGCCGCACGGTTCGAGGCACGCAACAACTGTCAGCCGATCGTTCGCGTAAAAACTAACTGAGTATAAAAATCATTTGTCCACTGTTGTTCCTTAATTTAATTTTCCATTTCTAAATCACACTGTTACTATGTTCATGATATTCGAGTAGTGTCGCGTTGATGATCCTCTTATTCATGATTACGGCACGCACCAGGGATCACGGACCATTACCGAGACGAGATCACCCTGATCGAGAAAAAAAAATACTGTATCAACAAATGCCTTGACGATAAATGCCGAGACAAACCGAGATATTTTCTTTTCTTTTTTTCTTTTTCTTTCCCCCCCGATAATTGCTGGACGCACCGATTATTTGTAAGTACCTCGCATAAACTATACTCATCGGACAATCACGGCCGTGGGATACGCGAGTGGAAGCCGTCATAGCCAACTGTCTGGGGAAAAAATTCCCTTGTTTCTCACCACGACGTCTGTGTATACAGGGTGCCCCAAACTTGAACAACCAAACCGCGAGAACTTAATCCACATATAAAAAGAAGAAAGAAACGTTGCGTAAAATTTGATACTAAACGCTTTGTTTATAGAGTTAACAACGAATGTTTTATACATGAAACAGTGACGTATTTGCCATTACAGTATGCAGGCGGGGTCGTTCAATGCGTATCTATTTTAACGTCAACAATTTCGCGTCATTCATTATAATAAGACGACAAAAGATACGATAATTTTTAATTTCATCAAGGTTGACAATATCGGTGAATAATAGAATTAATAACATTATAAAGTTCCTGAAAATTTTGCCGAGTTTCAATAAAATTACGCTATAATAAAATAATAAAATTATTTTTCAGTTTTTTAGTACTCTGTGAGAAAAATGTGTAGCTATTTCAGTGATACAGTATTTGTCTATAATTCTGTAACGAGGCAGTATAATACTTTGTATTTTTTCTTTCCTTTCTTTTATATGTAGATCAAGCCTCCGCAGTTTGGGATCGCGTACTTTAAGTTTGGGACACTCCGTATATGATACAATTAACGTAACGCCAATTTTGAACGAATCGAGGATCGTCAATATTTCATTGCATTATACAAAGTCGTTCTATCGTGAATGACAGACGTTTGAATCTCATTTCAAAGTAACTAGTAGATATTTTCCGATATTGTACAAAATTCAGTGTTGAAAGATTTAGTACTTACCAAAAAGGTTTAAGATTTGAAACAAATAAAAATTTTTGAAGTATTGAATCGTGTCTGAACTGATTTGCGTCATGCTATATATATTCGCTATATATGCGATTCAAAGCGCATTTCAGAGCGCATCGCACACATTAAGCAGTATGTGTCGCACACGTTTGATCAAAAGAACAACCTCAAAAAGATTATTGTTTTTGAAATACGTAAAAAAATAATCGATTTTCCTTAAATGTATTTTCTTTAGGTGTATCATTCTTCCAACAAATAGATGATTCAATTTCTTTTTACTTACTGAATTTTCTTATCTTCTGACGATCTTCGAAGATGAAATTATCCCGAGATGAGAAGATTCACATTCTTCATCAACAATTTCCTATACTTATTGCACGGACAGAGGTAAACAATTTTACGAAAAAACTGTAATAGATTAATACGTTAGGTTGAGATATATATAAATAAAATTCAGAACTGATGATATTAATTGAAAATATTTATAAATAGAGTAATTTTAACAATATGATTAATACTGAAAGTAATAATTTTTTTTCTCAAGTGTGTAAGTACTTACTAGACAGTTACTGTCAAAACTGCTGTTATACATATCAAGATTCGTCCAAATATTATTTTGAAGAGATCATAATCCCATCCATTGCTCAAATGGCATCCATTTCTTTACATTGAAAATATGTCGAAAATGTCCGTTACCCATCATCATTGTGTCCAATCATGTCTAACTTTAAGTAAGTATTTAGAAAAACCAGAATATTCTCCATGTTATCTGGTATTATACAGTTAATATACAGGATGTTCCAAATTTAAATGTCAAAGCTTGAGGAGCATGTAAGAACCTAACAAAAACAAAGAAAAAAGAAAGCTCGTTTGGAGAAAATCAGAAAAAAAGAAGAACAAAGAAATTTTTGTCTTTCCGCTCATTTATTTACTGTTATTCGTATTATTATCTTGTTTTATGATCTATATTATCATCTCATAGTATCATCTATCATCTGTATCATCTATTTAGTGAAGATACTATTCAAAATGTTAGCTTTTCATAGCAATGCAAGCGTTAGAGTCAACATTGACCACTTTTATCGCAGCTAGACATTGTTCTAACGATGATTGGATATACCAAACTACGATTCAGTCTTTCAGTTGCTTTTTCGAGTTAAAATTTATTGAATGAATGAGATTTCCTGAAACGAACTTTTTTTTCTTTCTTTCCTTCTTCCCGATTTTCTTTAAAATGAAATAAAAAACGAGCAAATCTCTGAAGAATCTTTTTACTGAGTTTATCAATTTTTTACGTTCAAATTTTTACATTTAAATTCAGAGCATCCTGTATAATAAAAGGAAAAAGAAGATCTGAATAATGATCTACCCCTTTTTTTTTTTTTTTCTTAGAATTAATATAATATCTTTTGGCATTTTATACGAGATATAATTTCTATGCAATATTTTTTGGAAACTTTGCACTCTTTATTTTGTAGATCTTTGAATTCGTGAAATTCTGAATTCTTCTCAAAAATGCAGTCACATGGAGATGTAATGTTCGAAACACTCGAATTCACTTGTTTTGAAAGTACATGCTGTGACGCAAATCAAATAACGCTTAGTCAGTGAGTATTATACGGATTTAAAGGTATACACATTTTCGCCTTCCATTTGTAAGGAACACGTTATTGTATATATACTTAATCATTACGTATAACGACCATTACACTACATCATGATCATGCGTTTTCAGATATACCGAGGGATTTGCAAAATAGTCTCGTTGTTTATAGCTCAATCACTTGGAGGGAATTTGTATAAACAGATAAGGTAATAATAAACTACTAAAGTTAATGGGCCAATAAGTTGACAGTCCACACTGTTGGTTTCGATAAATATTTTAATTTTACGATGATCCATTGTTGCCGAACAATATGATTATCGTTATCATCTGGTATATTATTCTCGTCACACAATATGTTGACATGTTTGCAGTCGCAAGGTGAAGAATTATATTCCTCGGCACGTTCTGAATTGTGTGCAATGGTTAAATCCTATTGCGAGATTCTCACAATTTTTATATACATTTGTTCAACGTAACAGTTGAATATTATATGATACAAACAATGATTTTCTACTGTCATACGTATACCGTGTAAATTCTCAGGCAAATTTACACGAAAATGTATGTTTGGCACGAAATACATTGGGTTTCTTGAATCATCAACAAAACTGCAACATAATGTTACGAACGTGAGTATTATTACCATTAAACACTATCCTATCGTCATTCGATATTCATCCTATCGTTCGAACGAAATATCGTCGTAGACTTTCGTTTTAGTAGCATCAATCCATTTATGCACAGTTGTAAAAAGATACTCAATTTTTCCAGAATTACCTCGGCTATGAGAAGAGTGACAATGAGAATAAATACGACACCTTGCCTCGGTAAAGACCGCTGAAACGGCCATATTCCAATGATGGACAAAAGACGCTTATTCAATCGGAAGGCTGGTTGTTCGAAGAAATCCATGCCGGCTGTCG